ACAGGAAAAGCAGCCCCCTCCTCATTCCTTGGACTAGATACGTCAATCCAAGCCGACGCGCTCATGGTAGAGGATTTACATATGAATGCTCTCATTAAGAAAAGGTACAAAACATTTAGCATCCTACATCCGATGCCGTACACTCACTTGTATGTTGTGAGGGCGTATAGGATCCGTCAAGATAGCTACCATCTCGCAAAATTGCTGCAGCATTAGCTTGAACTAAAAGTGCGCTCAAGTTCAACAGCAGAGACTGATTAGCTTCGTCACTTCTTCCGAATAGGCGAAGGGTAGCCCTCAACTCGGCAACGACAGCACCCAGCATCTCAGCTTGTTTTCTCTCCATAATCGCTGGATTTAGATGAGGCTTCAAAAGCCCGAGAAGGTGAATCTTAAACTTGAGTGGCACATGAAAAGCACCACTAGTATCACTTAAGGACAGAAGGTCAAGCACAACGCGGGTTATCATCTCACCGTTATTGGCAGCGAGTTGGCAGTGGAGTTCGGAGTACCGAAACATAAATGCAAATTCGGGAGATATGGCTAACGGTGTGAGCCAAGGGTGTGTTCGCAGAGAAGCTGGACCTCGTTTTTCGCCCCCGAAAAGGCAAGTCAATATGCTGGCTACCTCCTTTACAGATTTCCAAGGATCCACATCGCCGCATTCATTCGACATGCTGTATGAGAGAGTTCGTGTGATTATGTGAGCAATCATCTGCTTATCTCGGGCAACTATAGCCCATCCTAGAGCCGAGCAGGTGCCCGGAATGTTAATGGTAGAGAGGGGAGGACATGAAGGAGGCAACGACGCGCGCATTTTTATGCGTGCTATCTCACCAACGACATCGTGGAGCTGATGTCTCTTTGCTAGATGAATCAACTAAGAAAGTAGAGAAAGATCCATAAAGCCACTAGCATAAAACAGTAGAAAGTAAACAAATATGAAACGTCAATACATACATTTTGAGTAAGACGAGTGGTAGTCGGCTTGGTTCTTTGCAAAAGCGAAGCCTGAACGGCCTGAGCAGAAGGCTGCAGTGCGGTACAGTGATCCAAATAACCCAGCGCCACACTGAGTAGGCTTGAATCTGCAGCTAGGTTCTCTGCGTATCGCATCAGGAAGAAGTCTGGCATAGCTGAGGCCAAACGCATCGTGGTAGACTCATTTTCACCCAAATCTTTGTAGAAAATATAAAAGTGGAAGGCGGTTATTAAATCATTCCACACGTAACCCCAAGTACCCAACCGCATAAGAACATAACAGGTTACAACAAAGAAGGCAAAGCAACTATTTCAAAGAAGTCTCAAATTTTCCTTCTAGAGGATGGATTGCATTTGTCGCATAATCCAACGGTGATAATTATAAAAAAAATTAGTCAAGCAGACTAAGAGTTTGCTACCGCTGTTCTAACCAGTAAGGAATCGGCTTTCAGAAATTCAGTTAAGCAATAAGGAAAGGGAAAATTCACACCATTGTTTTACCGATGATAGATAAATATAACTCCGATAAAGTTTGACAGCTAAAAATGTTAGCAAACGAAAACACGTCAAGGAAAAGTTGAGGCATCAAAATAAGATATCAAGCGTCTTGTTACCACAATCAGTCCTTTCCGATTTCAAGTCCAAGTGTTCAGAGGGGCGCCGGATAGAACTGATGTCATTGAAAAAATCCGGAAGGAGGCGCTTCACCAAATTGGCAAAGTGAGCAACCATCCACCAGCTGTTGAATTTCTCACTCAGAGTAAACAGCGTGGAAAGAATGTCTTCTGCGAATATGTGCTTGATTACCTCATCTACAGGCTGACAATTAAGCAACAGCAAAGAATTTGTAACCTAGAGAAAACCACACAACTTGAAGCCAAATTAAGAGTTGTTCAGGAGATAAGCTAGAGTTTTCAGAAGTGTTTATGAATGAAAAGTATAAATAATCTAAAGAGAAAACCCTACAGGTATGAGATGCTGTAGATAGTGTTTACCTCTGATTTATCGCTAGAGACAGTTCCAAACTTGGAAACAAACTGTTCTAGCATGGTTAAAAGAGAAGAACGGTCCACAAAGCGGTGAGTGTAAAAAAGCCATCCGACGAATTGGAAGTACCAATCTCCACAGGCAGCCACTACCCGCGGATCGTTCCAACAATCATGGCGACCGGCCAAAATAGAAAGAATTAGGGTGAGGTATTCTGCATCAACGTCATCTACTCGTAAATTATTTTGGGCTTCTTCCATCAAGCGAACATTACAGACGCTTTGCCAGTGATGCCACGCTCTCTCAGAACACTCATCTCTCGACCAGGTTGCTAAAGATGGAAGGTAATGCAGGTATAAGACATGCAACATACATTCTAGATCAATCTGAATTGAATCAGAGAGTGGCATTGAAACTAAAAGTTGGCGGATATCCCGATAAAAGCTGGAATTAGCCTTGGGATGTGACGCCAACAAAGCAGACACTTCCATTGGCCGCCCTTGAGATGTCAATGCTAATACAGTTGACCAAAATACATGCTCAGAACCATCACCGAATTTGAATAAGCCTCCACCCGAATGAGTTTTCTCAAGAAGGTTGCGAGCCATGTTAACGGCTTCTTGAGACTGGACAAAATACCAGTCAGATAAGGCTGAGGCAAGAGTACCGGGGCTTAGACTCTTAAAAAAGGAGAAGGGTGTACAGACACACGGAAGAAGCAGGAAATAGGAGATAAAGAAAGGCAAACCTGCAACAGTATGATTTCAGATAGGTGCCATAATAATTCGAAGGCTTTAACAAGATCTCCGTCAGCAGTCAGTGATATCCGCCTTTCGGTCGACAAATCATCACAAGAACCTAAATATCAGATCGCGTGCACAAAGAAACCAACAGAGAAAGTCATAGATTTCATGATAGCACAACGCCAGTACAGCTCGATATTGACGGCTCAAGCGCAAAAGACTGAACACGTGAGTGATAAAAACGACCTACTCTGACGGTTGTTTGCACACTTGTAGGACGCGAAAAATATCTAGACATTTAGAAAAAAACTTAATGAACAACCATAGGACGCTCGGATAAGTCTTAGCATAAACGCATTCTTTTTGGCCGCTGCAAAGTGCTGAACTTCATACAATGTAGCATCAAAGGTAATGCTTGGAGAATTTTGAAAAACTGTAATTTTTTGCGAGGATGACCATGCAAAACTTAATGGGCGTCGCAAAGCGACAGTACAAACACTATCCAACATCCGTAAAAGATGCACACGTATCAACCTTGAAACTGCAAGTGCATAATGGTGATACCAAACAAAAATGCCTGCATTTCAATTGGCTAAGCCTCTTAAAATGCAATTAGATATGAGGAAAGATATTTTAGAACCAAAAAATTTTTTGTATGTTAGGCGCGAAGGTATTTATGCCACCGAAAGAGCAATAATCAAGCAACTTTGAATTGTAAACTGTCAACTTATTATTTAAATTAAAATTTATTTTTTAATCAAGCCGAACTAAGTAAGGAAAACAGCAAAAAACCTTCATTAAATTAGTTTCTGTATCTATTTATCAAAATCCTTACAAATATTCAATTAAACTTGTCAAATATTTCCCATTAAGTTCCCGCTCGCCTTACAAGCCTGGTTAAGTTAACGACATACATCGTGACTGCTCTCAAAATACTTGCATTAATAAACAAATATTTGTCTGATTTGCGATTCATTTCCTTAATCCATTAGAAGCCTTCATAATCTGGCGTGAATTTGCTGCACTTAACTGTCGGCATGAGCGGGAGATCTGGGCCTCTCATCTCGGTAAATCAACACGGTCTTTCGTTTTTCCCTTCGGTTCAAGAGGAATGGAGTGCGGATAAATTCATGAGCGAGTTTCAAGTCGTTGTGACATCATTTACTCCAGAAACCATTGAATTCGATCTGATTAACATTGATTGCACGTTCGCTAACGCAATTCGTCGAATTCTCATTGCTGAAGTGCCATCATTTGCTATCGATCGGGTGTTTTTGTATCAGAATACATCAGTCATTGCGGATGAGACGTTTTCTCATCGCCTAGGCTTAGTACCATTGAACGTGGATCCCGACAAAATGGGCTTTTGCACGACTGATTTGCCAGATTCTGATGAACTAAGCAAATTCGATCCAACATGTCACCTGGTATTTGACCTAAGTGTAAAGGCTGGGAGGTCGTCATCCAAAGAAAATGGTGACTGTCAGTCTAGGGAGAACTTCAGATCGTTTCCCCTGTACAGGTGAGTATTTTGTAGTTTGGACGCTTTATGTAATGTGCGTTCTGACACTGGATGTTACTTAGTTCTTCTCTATTATATAGTGCTTACAAATGAATTTTGTTATAGTTCAAGCCTTACCTGGGTACCGCTGCCTGGCCAGGAAGACGCCTTTAAAAATGAGGGCGCTAGTTATCCTGCTCCTGTTAGCAGAAAGATTCTACTCAACAAGTTGGGGTCTGGTGATGAAATACTGGCTCGTTGTCTTGCGGTCAAAGGGATAGGTCGGGACCATGCCAAATTTTCTCCTGTTTCGGCTGCCTTCTACAAGCTTTTGCCGTCAATTGAAATTAAGGGGACAGTGCGTGGCGAACTTGCCAAAAAGTTGCAAAGAAGCTTTGCCAAAGGCGTTATTGATGTGAGAACGGATTAGTTATTGATCTACCATCATTTTACATAATCGTTTTTGTAGTTTGGAAATACAATAACCAGGGCTCTATTGCTTCCTAGGTAGATTCGCGAACCCAACTGGCAAGTGTGGCGGACGCAAGGTTGGACAATGGTTCCAGAGAACATCTTAGACACCCCGATCTGGCCAATCTGGTGCATGTCTTTCTCAACCCACGTCATCTTATTTTTACGGTGGAAAGTATTGCTCCCGGCTACCGTCCGCCTGATACACTTGTCAAATGTGCCATTGATGTGATGCTTTTAAAGTGTGCGCACTACCTTACCATTGTGGAAAAGCCAGGTTTTGCTGCCAGCCCACAATGTGCTTCGACCGGAGACGTTGTTGAGGCTGAACGGATCGTACGTCATTATTTTGTACTTTGCTCAAATAAGTATATAAGCCCAGTATTTAGGACCCTAATACAAGCGTGTAATTTGTTTACTTCGATACTCGATTTGCTTGAAACGCATCCTTCAAGTCAGACTTCTATAACACCATTAATGTCCCGCTTTTTTGGAGCTTTTTTGGTTAATTTGCCCCTAAAATCTAACTTTTAAATGTCGCTTTGCTATTAATTTTCTGAATTATAATTGTTGCGGTAGGTTATTTTTTTTCGGTCTCAGGGCGAAGAAGCCGCGAAAACCTCACTAAATGGGCGTGTAGTCGGCCTAGATGTCGCTTTTGTGTCGAATGATCTGCGCCGGGCCACCTTCCACTTCACGGGCGAAGATCATACTCTCGGAGCTCCTCTTCGTTACTGTATTCTTCGCAGGTATTTTCAGCAAATGGTTTAAAGTCATCGAAAGCTTCCACGTTCGGCCTATCTTGTAACCATGAGCCTGGTTCTTTTATGTACGAAGGGCACAAGAGATAGCTGCCTGCGCCGTTTTCAAGTTGTTTTTGTGTTATCCTATTCCATCTGCTTTAATGACACTTATTTTGAGGTCAGCTAGAGCCTTGGTCGATTCGTGCCAATGTTAGATCGTTCTGTTGGCATCCAGCTTCGATCGTTGCACACGTGCTTTTTGTATAGAAAATACTGCATGATTATTAGAGCATTGACAACATCATGCTGAGCTGTTTATCTTCATTTAAGATTATCACATCTTATTGTGTTTATAGATGTTTTCAAATTTAATGAACGACTGTTTAAAGTTATAGTTCCAGATTACAATCATTGACTACGTTGGATAACGGATTTTTCTCATGTGTTCTTGTGGGAGTAGTTTTTCGCCGACATGGACTGTAAACATGAATCACAAGTCTTTTTAGCTGTGCTTTGAGCCTGATCTTTTATATCAAATGCCATAACTGCATATGTTACAGTAGTAAATGCAAATGTGTTTGTCTCTGCACCATGTGTTGGTTGTACTCGCGCTTTTCTTCCATTTATTTTAGTGGAACAGTGAAACTTTGTGGGTACTGCCAACCTCACCCCCTGGAGGACTCGATAACCTTTGAGATTCAGAGTAGAGGTATTTACTTACATTTGTAGCGTACAACCACAGGAGTGTTTTGACTACTTTATCGGGACTTTTCTCCCATAGGTGAAATGGCCGTGGTGGTGCTACAAAAAGGCTTATGCTGCCTTCGTGAATGTTTTGAGCAGATCAAACGCAAATTCAAATCAGCAATGAAGAAGGTGCAGAAGCAGGCTTCAAAATCTACATCTGACTGAATTGCTTGATACAATTTTGTATAGATTTGATGTGTATCTACTTCATACTTTAAAGCTGCAGCCACTTGGTTTCCCCTCAAACTTTGGGTATATTTGCATTCTAGGAGGGTTCATTGGCATTGTGGGGAGTGTACATGGGGCTAGGTTCTCCTTCAAGCACTGTTCCTGAGGATACGATTCTGCAGCTTAGAACGGGAGGATAGATGGTTTGCATTAGAGTACATATTTGGGATTCCCCATGTATAGGTCATTACAGATCCGGGTTTTCTCTCTGGTAGGGATAACAGTGTTTTCCGCTGAAGACTATTTAATTGGCAGGTCCTACTGTATGTGGTTTTAGCATGTAGGAAGAGGGGATGTTTTGATGAGCGGGGGGTAATTATTTCGTTGGCTTTATTTTTGTTCGATGAATGTACTACTACACTGATGAACTCAGGGATTTTGGTGAGTCCTGTGGGTGAAGGCGATGAGTATGAATAGCGCCCTCCAAGCTCGCAGTTTTCACACTTGCGGAATCGATTTTTCATTGAAGGCCAGATGGGAGGAAAGACCATGAACATCCTTAAAAATTAGTTATAAACCAAAGAACAGTAATCCTTCTGGTTTCTGCCCTGGTTTTCGCCCTTTGGTTATTAAAAACTAAGTAATGTCCCGACATCAGCATGTGGAGTCTGGTTGACGATTACTTTCGCATTAATGAATCACATTTCGACCAAATGAACCCACTGTGGCCTAGACTGAAAGCGTTCGTCGCACGGGGCCTTGGGGGTCTAAAATTTTGCCACCGAATTTCTGGACTTTAGTAATTGCAGTATGGTGCAAATGAGAAAATTCCTAACACGTCATCCGACATAGCAATTGCCTTTCTCTTCAGATATGTCAAATCACGCAGACTGCTCAGCCAACGCTGGGATTCATCGTCGACAAATCGTGGGGACCAGTTCGCGTACAACTACGCAGTGCAACTATGTAGTGCTCTAAGTAAGGGGGGCCGTTCGAAGAGCTAATCTTAGATTTACATACATAATTTACAGATTTTACAGTTGAGAGGTACAGTTTTAATTGTGAATGCGAAATCCAGTTTCACAAAAGCGAAAACAGCTTTAGTTATGAGCACTTTCAAATAACTGAGACCATTGAAGTTGTCAATACATGCATTTAAGACTTTAGTAAGCATTCGTTCTCTTTTCAACCGTTTCTGCCACCCATATAGCAAATTAGCACCTAGTCTGTAATGTCACTTTGAATGCGCTTAAGCACATTCAGTAGCCCTTAAAATCAAGGCTTTTTAAATGAATGGAATTCCCAAACTCCTTACAGGCATAATTCATTGAGTTAGGTTTATGTATACTTTATTTGAGGTTTTAGAAAAAACGAAATCCTAATCATCTGAACGGAAAACGTGAAGTGCGCCAACTCTCCCAGTTGTGAACAGTTATTTCTCTCTCCGTCTCTTGTCCATTGTAACATTTGAGCTTCTTACTAAGACGGCCACATGTGCTGCTCTGCTTTAATACAATTAGAACCATGAGCACTATCCTGATGGACACATCAGACAACAAGACAACAACCCCATGGTCTGGATGGTTCCGATTGTGGTATACTAATAATGTTCTACTCTTGTTAATGCATGAAATATGGGATATTTTTAAACGATATAGCACAAGTCCCTGTCCGAATGCACTAACTGTGATACCTTGTCATTATGGTACATCTCCAAGGCTACCTAAGCTGATCATTGCACAATTTGCAGAATATTAAACAATGTAATTTCAATTACCATCCGAGTAGAGTTTAATTGGACCAACAATACCTGGCTGCAGCCTAAGGCTGGGTCCTCAACTGCGTTTGCTCAGTTTCCTTTTTTACCATATAGTGATTGATACAATTATAATACTGTGTTTAGCTGCCGGTATTGGTCGATGTCATTAAAATGGTCATATTGTCTTCGTTGGATCTCTATAAGGAGGTCTCAGGACGCTACATTGGTGGTAGCGGAAAAGGCACCCGACTTTGAGGCTACTTCTGCCTTATTGTGCTCATTCGGTAGCCGCAATGCGTTGGTTATGTGACCACCTGATGCCGAACGGTTGCCCTCGTACGCGTGAGCTTGCCTTTGGACCATGCCAAGACCCCATCCATTCTTCTCTCACGATACAGGCATTCTGTACAACGCGATGCCTTCTCCCACCTGGTGGGAAGTCTCGGGACGCTACAGGCCTAAATCTAAGTGTAAGAATGGATAGCATAGGCTACAGTTAGGGGAATCTTCGATTTTCCCCAAGAGACAGGTCAGAAATGACGTCTAACTTCGGCGTCCATTCCATTCACGTGTTCTATGGGAAAGCTATTACAAACTAGTTGAGGGAGTTTCTCCTACTATACCTGCATAAAGACGTCGAGGATGTGGAACTGAGCAAAATCCTATCCACATTGGACTGTGTCAAATCCTGCACCCTCTCTTACAAATCAAGCAGATCGAAAAATACATGTGCATTCCTCATAAAAGCCCTAGCAAATCGACAACCGAAATTAATTGGTCATTTTTTCCCTCTTGTTAAATAGTTTACGTCGAATAGTTATTCACCCCCAATTCATCCATTCTATCACGATGCCCATCCAAGGCCACCATTTTTAATACCTCAGAAATGTGCAAAATAGACGTTTCAAGAGTTTACGCCAAAATAGGCTCCTAGTACGAGTCGAATTACGTAAGAAAAGCAGTTTTTGAGCCTACTGCTGTTTACGCATTCGATGAAACCCAGAACGAGGTGTATGCGGTTTTAAAATGTACTAAAATTCAGACATAAGTCTCAGTGATCGACATGCACCAAAACAGAATAGCATGCAAATTAGGAGGGGGAATTTGGATGCTTTTGAGCAATAGAACATGATCTGGGACATAAAATGGATGGCGATATTAAACGTCAAAGCAAATAGCAAGTCCAATCAGACAGGAGCCTGATCATCAAAGTCTTTGAAAGACGTTGCGTCAGAGGCAGTGCTTTCGTCCAGAGTTCTGAGGATAGGATTACCTTTCACTTTGCTGCCATCGCTTGGGCAACAGCGTCGTACGCAGCTCGCATTGCGACACCGGCCGCAGTTAACAAGGCACTCTTCTGCTAGCTCTTGTACCGTTGCAGACTGAAGGATACCATTAAAATCGAGACAAGTCTTGTTAATGCACAAAATGGTTAGCGAATCATTGTATAACTTTCAAACTTTATGATTAACTTATTCAGCGTTTCATTTGCAATCCTTATTCTCCCAAGGCCTTAGTATCAAATTTATGCTGGAATACGAGACTGTATAATGTTCAAAAACTGATGAATTTTGAAATATTCGATGTTGTTTAGCAAAATGTGTGATCTAGGTAATGGCGATCCATTTATTCTCAAAGACTTGAAGACCCAATAGACCTTCGAGTGGTACTAGAAAATTGATAACCTATAAGAAGAGAGCTAAATAAAAAATTGCACAAAATCTCTTCTCATTCAGTTCAAAGTAACGGCGTCAAAATGCATGCCGATACCTAAGGAGCTGCAAGTTATTTAGACCTTCAATTTCACGTTGATGACAGATGTTTTGACCCACGAAGCCAACTCCAAGACTATATTAGTATATTTCAAAGTTCAGGAATCTAAGTACCAATGAGATTGAGCGCTCACAAATTATGACTATAGGATGCCACAAAGGTGTCGGCCACACTTAGACCGAGGACGTCGACTGGATTTGCAAGGTGACCAAAAAGCCCTATCGTCAATTTTGTGTTTTACCAACGAAGAAGCCAACTTCGCACCCGAAGAACACCGCATTACGTGAATTTGCGTTGAATAAAAAAAAATGTTTAGCGACTGAACGCAACTGATTTATCATTCCTCGTGGGTGGACAAGGCTACAAGACATGAAGTCTAACAATTTTGGAATCCATCGCTATATTGGAGGGCGACATTAAACTGGTTGCATAGCAGCGCTCAAAACAATACCGCTTACAATTATCCACAAAAAACGAAAGGCATGCAATTCGGCAGAATCGGTAGCTACTGGCCTTCTACAAAGACTGAAGGTTTGAAGAAAACTTCAGAATAACTACCTCACAGGAGTTTGCCCCGAGAGATGGCTTGTCTGCTACGAGCAAAACGGTCACTTATGATAATTACAATTCTTTGAAAATTAAACAAAAATTTTTTCTAACTGCTATTTATGCACCCTAAAATGCACAAGACTTTGGTCCGATGCATGCACAAAATGATCAAATCCACCTATAAGCTCCGTTGCCAAGCCTCAAATCGTGTCCCAAATGTCTAGTCATTAAATTTCTCAACGTTATTGTGCAGAAAAAGGTATAGTAAGTAGAGACGCGAGCAAGAGCGAAAGGAGTGAGAGGTATACAAATGCATAAATGAATAAGGTATTAGGACAAGGGCAAAAGTAAACGCAGCAAAGAAATTGCGCGAAAGTTGAGCTAACACAGACGCATTCATTCGCATGGATTAGAAGGGTCAACAAGCACCTGGAAAGGCGACAATTGCACACTTGTAAGAAAGAACATCTGTTTGAATAAAAATATCCCCAAAAGCGGTAAGGGGGAGGGAAGACACCCAGAAGCTGGTGGAGTGTAGGAAGATGAAAAGACGGGAGCGACTGCTAAAAGTAGTTGCTTTTGGTGGATGTAGTAACGGGAGGCTCGCGTGGCTGGAGCTGATTCAACTCAATGCGGCTGATTTTATGTGCAATATCAGCAGCAGCATCAGCGGGATTGGTGACGGTGGGAAGAGAAGCATCGTTTTTGGAGACCTGGAGGGTGGCAGGCGCGGGCACGGCGTTCACAGTGCCATGAGCGTCATTCCCTGAATTACCCGCGTCGGGCAGCTGTGGACAGCAGGAGTCGGAGCAGCATTTCTGATTCGGTCCGCAATCGTAGAGACAGGTCTCGGGATTTTGCTCCGTGTTCTGAAGGTGTGCAGGGGAAAGGCGTTAGGATGGATGCAAATCAACGCGAGTGTACAGAATGTATTCAATTCGGGATGGGGCAGTGAGGAAGGGAAAGGAAAGGAAGTGAGGAACGCGATAGGAAGCACAAGCCCTAATTACTTGTTTAAAAACAGTGCATTTGAAGAGAGGTCTACAAAACGCAAAATCAAGTATCTGAAAATGGGGAGCAAAAAAATCAGTTGCTTCGAGAAAGACAAATTTGTCGCACATCACACGCCTTGACACGGTGACAGACAGCGGGATTAAAATACAGACTAATGAGATTACTACTATTAAAACGCAACTACACTCACATCTTCAAATTCCGGTTGGATGGTAGTACAGTGGATATTATATTCGTGGAACAGCTGTTTCACTCTTCGAGCCACAATCGCATACTCTGCTACACAAGCAAAAAATAATAAGAATAATAGTAGGAAAAGATAAGAAACAAGCACAATAATCGGGTAGAATAAAATTAAGTGTTTTGAGCTGAAAATATCCCTATACCATTGCAATGAGTGTGGTCGCTTACGAGCATTGAACTGCCTAGTAAGAAATAGATTTTTTGTTTTAAGACCATCGCTTGTTTTTGCAATCATGCATTGGCTATCGAGATGATGAGAAAAAAAAACTCAGTGCAACGGAAACAATGCTATGGGTGAAGTGAAGTCGGCCAAATGTGCTTATGATTGAATCCGTTTTCGCCTAAAATATGGATGGGGAAGAAATGGGGGAATTTAGTACATGGCGCATTAGCATGGACAGTTTCATCAATGCAAAAATTTTACCATGCACAATTTTTCTTGGAGTACATAATGTTAATAAGAATCACAGATATGAGCACAAAGACGGAGGAGTCCCACAACGAACTAAGGCTAGCTTAAGCTTTAAAGATTAGCATAGGTGGATAGAGGTCAGCGAATCATGGTGAACGTTTTCTGGTCGCAATGCCAAAAGTTGAACTCATTTGCAATCAACTTTAAAAGCGCGAATTGCAGGGTTCAAGTACGAGAACGAAATATGGTGCAAAGAGTGGATGCGTGAAGGAACTTACAGCACAAACCTATGAAGACAAGGGGAGACAAGTGGACAAAGCTGGGGTTAAAAGGGGAGAAACCAATCAGTCGAGATTACGAAGAAGGCAGTTACAAAAGTGGTTACAGCACCTAAAGGCTCAATTTTCCAAGTTTGCTTCTACATTTAGGCTCCGATACTAGAATAACTAGAGTTGAACTTGGAACATTGCAGCAATTTATGTTTGAAGTTGAATGATTACGTGAGTTACCTGAGACAAACTATTGTTGGTTTTAACTTTTAAAACAACTAACCGCATCTTCACCAAGAGTCACTCAGGCAGTCTAATGACGGACGAAAGTGATTTCAAATAAGCAAAAAAGTTATAGTCTTTTACCTCCAACCCGTGATAGGATAGTACAAATCATGCAATTGCTCCTCGACAAAGAACAACTGGAACTCTGTATAAAGCTGGCAACTTTTTAATTTTGCATGACATATTTGGTTGATATTGTCCGATTTTGCCTCAGACAGCGATAACACTTGATAGTGTAAACTACGGCGCCTTCAATAACAGTGTTTCAGATAGTGCCTAAAATGGGGTAATAGTGGTACTTATGTAAAACTGGTCTTCCACTTTTCTATTCTAGCATATATATGTACATATGAGTAGGAAGATGTGAGTTTTCCAAAATGCATGATGACCAGCACTGACTAACCTTGACCCTCAACTAAGTACATCACGAGGAATACCATAAAGTAAAGTTTACAAACAGGTATTGTTTCAAAACAAAAAAGGCATCCTGCGTGGATCAGGTGCAGCCATATGAAAGCGAAAGCCACATTTGGTACAAAGTAACCGACCTGCCGTTCCACAAAATCAAAACATAAGCCCCACACGAACAGTAATCCAGAAAAAAGCCTAGACTAGACAATAAACAGCTCATCGACAGCACGTATCTGACGAGTAATGGAAAACAAGTTACGTGAGATGCTCCCTTTCCAAGGTGGAACATCAGAGTTACACAGATGCGTGTGCGTGCCAAGGAATGCAGAAAAGGACCAAATGGTGTAGAAAATATGTGACCAATTTTTTTGACTATAGTAACTCTTCGCCTAATGTGACGAAAACGAGAGCTAAGGAGGAAAGTAGATGGTCTGAATGTCAAAATGACTAATCACCGGCTGAAATATAATATATGTTGACAATTGAGTAAGGAAAGGTTATGACTTTAATGTCGGTTAGAAATGCAATAAAGTAAGCTCAAAATGATGGAGTGAGTTAAAAAAGTAGATTTAACTATTAAAATAGTCATAAATCCACCAACAGTGGCAATCACGCAGATGAAAAAGTTTATTGCCTAAAACCTATAATGAATGGTAAGCAATTCATAAAAACTAAGTAGCATATCCGCAGATACAATACTTCGCCTAACATAGGAAAAGTTCATTACCAAACCCAATTACGGGTTAGGTTAGGTAATTAGGTTTCTCCATTGTGGTCAACATGCTAACGACAAACAATGCATGCAAAACAGAAGATGGAAATGGAAACGCCACATTTTTGGAGAAGTGTCCAGTTCGCGGTCCCGCAAATTCCATTCACACTGTCTAGAACTTCCACAGCAAGGGTAGAGTGGTGGTAGCACCAAAGATGGGGCAACATATAAAAATAAATGCCATATTTCAAGATCCTAGGCTTTTAAGTGTTACCATAACCTCTACTCCCTTATCTTTCATAAAATAGAGCACAAGCAAACACATTACCGTGCCATTATGCCTGGAGGTAAGAGCGCGCTTATACTGCGATCTGATATAGTTTGTAAACGTTGATGTGATAGAATTGCGTAAATGCAATGCTGGACACAGACATTCAGCGGTCTGTCATCGCTCTTTGGCAGCGTTACTGCCACCTTGAACTCTCACGCTGCCGTAAAGCTGGAGGGGCTTCGCGGAGGATTTGGCGCCAACAGAATATACCGCCTGAAAGGCTCTAACTTAACTAGATTGATTGATTGATTGATTGAAAGTTGCATCACCTCGAAGGAGACTCGCCTTCCTCAATCATAGCCTCATGTATCGAGAAGGGCTTTCAGTAGCCTTCAACTTGATCTACGAACAATTCGTGGAAAACATTAAGCTCCACCACATCCAGACAGCTCACCCATACTCCTTGAGGCGGCACGACTTCTTGAGGTCTTCACAATAAAACAACAATAACAACAACTACTACTGCTGCTGGTACAATACATCCACTCAACGCGGCACAACTCAGGGGTGTACAAGAACGACTTCGTCCTCTTCGGGAACAGGCGTGACTCGATACTTGATCTGATGTGGGACCCATACCACTTTAAGATAAAAGGGAGATTCCGCCTCATCCTCTCTGTTTTGCGCCGATTACCCCGAGCAGTTACCATTCTGCTCCAGCACCACACAATCACAACCACAAAGAAGACTGAGGAAACACAATTGAGGTAGAAGCGATGACTAAAACTATACTACTTGCAACGACCTTATGCAGATGGCATTTGCATGCTCAACAGACTGAAAGGACCTGTAGGCTGCACTTGTAAATGCTTCAATGCATAAAACATTTTGAGCAGTTTTCTGGTTCCACCTACATTTTGTTACATAAACTGTATCTACCTACTAGATTCCAAAAGCATGACTGTTTATGTTCGTTCTTCACAATATTTATTCCATTATTGATGTAGTCATGGCAGCTACCTAATTGCACCATATTTGTGTAGAGGAAGCAACAAGCACCTTTTGTCATACTGTTTAAGACGCAACAACCGAAAAATTTTAAGATATGAAAAAACGAAAGGAATAATAAGAATAAGCTTGTGCATCTTGACAGATGTTGAGGACTTAACACAAGGCCCATTGTCACTGCAGACTCTTCGTTTCATAACTATCAAAATTAGCGAAAAGAAGTCCTTTAGAGATCGCACGCAGCTAAGAAGACACATACGTAAACTTCGGACACGGAGATGCACAGTTCCAATGATGCAGTTACTTTGTAGTTTCCAAACGTGCAAATCATGTACTCGGACAACGCCATCGATCTAAGAAATAGACGAAACACCATTTTAGTGGAATGCTGGGAAGTACAAATTATGGTGGGTGGAAATAAGCCAGTAAAACAAATGTACAAATACGCAACCAGCAAGTTCGGAGAAAGAGAAAGCGGTCCTAAAGAGTCGAACTTTAAAAAGGCATTGACAAATACCATGAATGAGGAATACCTTTAGGTCACGAATTCAGGAAACATAATGAAATATGATCTAGATGAATGCAAAACAGTGAAATACTCTAATTAAGGTTGAATAAGGCTCACTGACGGGAGATGCTGGGTTTTGAGAACAAAGCTTATTTCAACCCCAAGATTCCACACGACAGATAGTATTCCCACCGAACCTCACCAACCAGGTCTAAACATTTTTTGATAAAATGAGTTAAATGCCGCGAAAACAGAGTATATTTCCACCTGTAAGCATGACTTGTCCTTATCGATTAGCTCACCCATGCTAAGTGGCATAAAAAATATTGACAAGGCCATTACCTTATCATACACCAGACGAGGACATGCCGTAATGCAACGGCCGTAAAATTTCAACGATAATTTTAGCTCAGCCTTAATAACTTGGGTAATAAAGTGCAGTCAATTCGCAAGTGCCCGAACTAGAAGCCAAAAAAGCGGAACGACTCGGAACCTTGGTATCCCATTCACGCATGTGAAAGGAAAGCTCGCTGATATTCGGGTTTCAAACAACAGACATTCCGGTAGGAGAGATTTATCTAAAAGTTGTGTTATTGAATAGGAAACGAAAAAGTGAGCGAAAGTACTATGCAATGCAGTACTAAAAATATTGCATACGCGATTCGGGACGTTTATTGATCGATGACATTTTTAACACTCCACATAACTCGCACTAAAAATCACCGCCTGTATCATGAAAAAAAGCACAGGATTAAGTAACTGCAAATTAAGATTCTGCAGTCTCTGGAGAAGACTGAAGCTTTTTGAACATTACAAAGGCGAGAAAATTGAAAAGTAAAATGATGGCTTAACTCGGTAAAAAATCTGTAAAATATCAAATTGACGCACAGGAACCCTATGACATTGGCGACAACAGTCAGCAGGCATAAATGGGTAGAATCGTATCACGCGTAAATATGGAAACGAGGATAATGGACAGGGTCAAGACACTCGTGAACAGTCAAGAGGATTGTACTTAAGCACATGGCTGATTTTTTTGCTAAATTTTAGCGACGAAGGAAATGTAGCGGAGCAATGAAGACAACCGAAGGGAATACTACTAGGGACTCTAACTCGATGTGGAAGAATAATGCTTCTGGATTTTGTAGCTGTAAGAATTCTGAGGTGGGGGACAGGACTATTAAATTTAAATACTCAAAGGCACAATTATGAAGGAATAAACTGAGAATACAGATGCCTCTGTATAGTAGTGGACAATAAGACCCAACATTTATACAATAACTAATGATTTTTGCATTCGACAGTGTGTAAGGCTGAAACATGCCAATTACTTCGAACACCGTCCCTGTGTTTTAGAGGCATTACGAGACAAAATGGGCATTGTAAATTGTAGAATGTTTGAAATATGTGAGGCGGTTGTATCAAGGTGGCTGTGAGTGACATCAAAACCTTAAACTGACCGGGTGACATTGACAAGGTGTGTAATTGGCACATAAGTCCACACATACTCCGCACGAAAACCTGACGCAAGCGAGTCTAAAGTGTGTATGTTTGTGCTTGTATATAGTTTATACGCACAACGAATCAACACGCGCAAGCCTCACGTTGTTTAAACTACTACTATGCAGGAAGTTGGCACAGTATCGCACGCAATCACACGCATCTAACGAACTGGACGGACGAGAAAACTTTATATAGCATAATGTGTCTCAGAGCTATAGGACAACCATATTAGCGACCGAAAGAAACAAATTCCATCTCATAGGGTTAAAAGTTCAATTTGGTCTCTAGAGATCAAGGGTGAGAAAGTATGATCCAACCAAAATGAAAATTGCATAGATCAACAAATGACATTAGATGCCCTTTTAGGTGTCGGCAATTGATGATGCGGCCGGGAACGCAATAAATCAATGATGCTAGAAACGACACCGTGATTAGACAAATACCAATCTTGCATGACAATAGTATTTCGAATAGGTGAGGATGAAGAGTATGTACACTTTTCGCATACTCGAGTTAGTGGACAGCATTTGTTACAAAAATCATACCTTTTCGAGTCGATTTTTCAGGTTTCTTATGCAAATTTCCTTAGGGACGGATTGGAGAAGGATGAGAGCAGCCTTATACACTATAAATGGAGAGAAATAATGAGCCAATGAGCCCCAAAACTGAGGGTTTTCAATGTAGTCTACGTGATTTTTTGAACCCTATCAGCGTTCCAGTGATAATTTCACAAAAAAACTTCGAGGGCACATTTTGCTGCCAGGCATGGGCTAAATGAAGGCATTAAAGGGCACAACGTTACGCATGTTGCTGTTGTTCTGCTCCGCACACATGGTGGATGGGTGAACTCCGAATTACGAAGAAATGATCAGATGCATTGTAGTAGTGCATACCCAAATTCAAAAGCAGCGGGACTAGGCGCACACACATTAGGGAAAAGCATATATGTGAGTAGCATAGCTATCAAAGCAATGTGAAAGAACCCACACCCAAAACTGTCGGTGTGCTTTAATGCCACTCCTCGCTGAAAGCGACGGGCGACGCCCGTACGCATGATTTCAATGAAACGCAAATAGTATTAGGTCAAACAGCACAAATGTCTACTCAATAATGTAACCAGGTTTTTCTCGCCAAATCAATTATTGCATGAATTGTACTGAAAATGAAGTGATCGAATATGGACAAGAATGTACTCCATGAAGGAAATTTTCAGTGAATCAAAATGCCAAAATCAATTGTGATGGAAAATAGAAAAGATTTAATGGATCCGTCAGCAATGGCCGCTTATGTACGGTGAAACATCACCATAAATAGTAGATCAAAGGGATATGGGAATTTAAAAGATCAAGGACTAGATGAATCCTGTGATTGGGTTGGTTTACACAATCTTTGACAGTTATTCACTTGAAACAAAAACGATCAATTCAATTCCGATAACCTAGGCTGCCTAACACATCTTTCACCCATTTGTGTAGTTCCTTTTCCACAAAAATGAAAAATATAAAGAACATTTGCCTAGATTTCGTGATCGAACCCAATGAAAAAATGTAGTATTCACAGCCTTGTATACCAAAAAACAGTCCAAACGGTGTGGACAACAGGAAGTCACACAGACCAAAGGCAGTCAGGAAACCCATTTCTCTCCTGATGGATATCATTAATTATGTTTGTGCCTCGAAAGTGACTTAGTGGTTAAACTACAATTAATCCACCAGTACAACCCAACAATATAATGGGAAATGATCATGTTTATCGATATCTATGATGCTGAATAAAGTGTTAACAGCTTACATAATGGCAGTGTAGAATACAGAATTATGACCACCATGATCAGGCTAAAATGAATAAAAATAGCATTATAAATCTATCGTTTATCATGGGGATGGAAATAGGCATTTATTTATGTGAATTAGGGACATTACATAGGTTCATTCAACAGAATTAAAACTTGGCACTCGCACTGATTGTTTGACATGATTTCATGAAATGTCTAGGAAAATCCCACCACACAGCCAAAGTTTAGTGCCATTAATTAGATTCATAATAGCATGAGACTCTCGGAGGCAATAAATGAGGTAGCCTGGGATAAATGTAATTATAAATTTATGGGACAGGTTCCAAAACGTGATTTAACCATCCATAAAAGAGACTTCCCAGAACTAGCACGAGGCTAGAAAGGCTAATTGAAGAGGATTCGGTAAGATTGCCTACGATACTTTAGTAATATGGAGTAAAGGCAAAAACATACATGACTCACCTCATCGCCGGATCGATGAAAAGTTTCCATCTGTTTTCCGGTTTCGTGGGATCACCCGGAACTTGCCAGAGGATCAGTGCGCTCACCACTACGATTATGGAGCCAAGAAAGTCGGCAAAGACGTGAAGAAACACGGCTCGCATATTCATAGAGTTCCCTGAATTCCAAAAAACTCACTGGGTTAGGGGGTTCATGGTTAGGGAAAATAAATAGGATCAACAAGACGAGCCACGGCACGCAACAAGATTGGGGTGCATGACAAAAATGATGGGCAAAACATGCAGGTGGCGAGCATCAAGGAAACGGACATGCTATTTTTGCAGAAAATCACTTATTCAAAAGATCAAAGTGCCACGTTCGCCAACTCCGGCATCGTTAATAAACAAAAGTTATGGCGATGGATTTAAGGACGAAATAAATCGACGTATCGTTAATGTGATGCGTTCAACGGCTGCTATTTTCTTCCAAAAAAGCGTAACCAAGAAAAGGCTATTCGTACCCAACGCATCATATAACTTTTAAAATCCAGAGCAAAGTAATCACGGAAAGTTACTAGTAAAGGTGTAAGATGAACAAATACCTATGAGTCTACCCGTAGCGTTCAAACAAGCGGGCGTGCATCATTGTAAATGCATGTCAAACACACAAAGCAGAAGCAAATGCAAAGTGAAACGCACGTTTTTGCTTCCCAGTGGAGCGCTTCGTGTCTGCTGTATGGATGGACAAAAATAGCCTAAAGTTCAGGCAAGGTATCCGACTTGAAGCGCGAAGAGTATACCAAAATAAGTTGGTATTAACAAACCACACTAGTAGGCAGATTATAGAGCCAAGAGCTTGCGCCTTGGGCTAAGCCCATGCCGTTAATATGAACAACAGAGAAACTCCAATGTTAAGTAAATGAAAAAACGACTAAATGTAATGGTGGAAATCGTGGGGCTTCGAATACGATCCTCAATCAGACTGGAGGAAAGTAAGCAGAAAGTAGTGTTGGCGATCCGGCTGCACAAGCGTTGGTCAGACGAGACCTCAACCTGCCATCGAGAGTAGAATGGCAGGTCTAAGTGAAGGTAAAACTGAGTTAACAAGAGATAAAATGAATTTGACCGTCAATAAAAATACCAGCCCTAGGGCCGAATATTAAACACTAAAGCCCAAGATGTGCAATCCTACCATTAGGCTAAAAATACCAACCTTCTTTATGGGGCTTCCTTGTGGTGGTGTTAGGACAGGGCGCGAGGTGGCAGTTTTCATGAGCCAAGTCTGTCTCAGAAGGCCGATGCAGTTCACGAATCCTTTGGATGCAGGGACAACATTTGGCCAATCTGTCAACATCATTACCAGATTCGTAATCGGAATCAACTACTTCGTAGGACCCCAGATTGCCATTTGGGACGGATTCCACGGGCTCGCCAGCTTCCGGTTTACTCTCAACCAGGTTGTATTCAAGTTCATTGATGCCTTCCTCAATGTTTACCTATACCATCAAGTAAAATTTCAGTAAACGGTGCTGTAAAACCTTCAATGGTAAAAATGCACCATTAAGAATGAGAAGCAAATTTCATTTAAACCGCGAACATACGTCTTCGATATCCATCGTAAGGGCAGGAGTATCGTGCGAGTGCGAATGACCTCCAATAACAAGTAGACCAAGTATATTTATGACAAGGCCACCAACACCAACATACACCATTATTCGAGGATCCTTTATAGGTTCGTGCTCAACAAAACGCTCAATGGCATCGATAAATATGGTAAAGCAGAGGGTAACGAGTACAATGGTGTTGACAAGACTACCCACCACCTCTGCGCGCTGCCACCCGAAGGTATTTTTTGGTGATCGAGGCCATTTCGCGATTCTAGAGGCGGCCACTCCAACACAAAGTGCAATAAAATCGGAGAGCATATGAAATGAGTCCGCGACCAAGGAGAGGGAATGAACAACATATCCAGCAATCAGCTCAATTAAAAAATACAAAATGACCAAAACCATCATGAGCAGTAATCTCTGAGTGTTCCCGAATTTCATCTTTGGACAAGGAGTTGAACAAGCAAACACTAAACGAAACAACCCAATCCCAGATGATTTCGTAATGTGAACGCCAGCCCACATAAATTAAAACAATAGATTGCATGAACTCCTACATGTCAGTAATTATTCTTAACCAATTTAAACTAGATTAGCGAAAATGTTTATAAGAGCTGTAACAATAGGCAAATTATGCTGACTGAATCACAAAACAGGGACGTTATTGGATTATTAAAAATGCTCTATTTATAGGCTCAATTAAAGTCTGACATACACACAATGCTTAAATTAAGTGCCAACCACACTGCTTAATTCTAAACAAAATATGTTAATAATCAAAGGAACAACAAGACGGTATGCATAATCTAATAATTTCATGTTCACAGACGTATGTATTTAGCGGAGTAAAGGGATAGAGCTGATCAGGGAACATTCACCTATACGCCTAAGTAAAGAAAACTAGCTGTTAAGATGGCATTTGTTAAAGTCTTGGTGAAGACAGCAGAGCCAAGTCACAGGAGCTTTCCCCGATAAACACTTCGCAGCGCGGATTAAAACCTGATAGGTGTTAAAAGACAGCACTCGCTATCGAGCCGAAACACCAAGCGATCGCTATGTTACTTTATGAGAATTTTTTGTTTTTGTCACCATATCTGCTCGAAAGATGCACACGAATTTTATTCTTGTCAAGCCTAATAATCGAGCATATAAACGGGAATTCAGCTGAAGCTCATGAGGATATATGGCTAAATATTAGCACACCAGCTATAAGTGACATGTAAGAGAGGGTACAGGATTTGACATAGTCCAATGTGGATAGGATTTTGCTCAGTTCCACAACTAGTTCTCAACAGGTATTGCCTCATTTCGTAATAGCTTTCCCATAGAACACGTGAATGGAATGGACGCCGAAGTTAGACGTCATTTCTGACCTGTCTCTTGGGGAAAATCGAAGATTCCCCTAACTGTAGCCTATGCTATCCATTCTTACACTTAGATTTAGGCCTGTAGCGTCCCGAGACTTCCCACCAGGTGGGAGAAGGCATCGCGTTGTACAGAATGCCTGTATCGTGAGAGAAGAATGGATGGGGTCTTGGCATGGTCCAAAGGCAAGCTCACGCGTACGAGGGCAACCGTTCGGCATCAGGTGGTCACATAACCAACGCATTGCGGCTACCGAATGAGCACAATAAGGCAGAAGTAGCCTCAAAGTCGGGTGCCTTTTCCGCTACCACCAATGTAGCGTCCTGAGACCTCCTTATAGAGATCCAACGAAGACAATATTACTACCGGCTCCTAAATGCCTTTTAATGCTTTTTTCTGACAGGCCAAGTAAATCAATCCTATTTCGGCGAAGGGAAATAGCGCGACCTGTGAGGTCTCCGATGAGTAAAGCCTACAAGCTAATCGGACCATTATTTTGCAAAATCAACTGCGAGTTTCGAAACACCTGTTGTTTCTTTCCAAAGCCTGTTTGTGTGTAATGTCGTACACTATCGCACCTCACAACTAGATCTTCACCTAGAATCTGCATAGACAGGCGTCAAACCAATTTAACTTTTAACTATAAACAATCATGCAAGCTAGATAGCACAACTTAAGGCATTGTACAATATATTTAAAATGGCTTTGCATTCTTGATATCAGAACTTTTTAATTGCTATGTGTTTTGCAACAGCTTGAGCATTACGTTGTATAGGTTTGACTCTCTTGTTACGTTTGATTGCACTTTGCACTCAGCCAATTTTACGGAGTCCCGACTCTTCAGAATATAAATGCCAATTAACGATTTTTGAAACCTACACATAGTAGCTGCCAATGTTGCAGAAAAACAACAGAAGCTTTACGGAAGTTGTAAAAACTATTCGCGCATAGAGTAAAAACTCCCAACGTATACTGTCTTTGGCACCAAACACAAGGGCATTCGGTACTTACGACGCATGTAGCGGAAAGCCAATTAGAAGATCTTGGCTTGGATTGACTTATATATGGTAAAAGTCATTGTTTGAAACATTTTTGGCGTTAAGCAGCACATAAATGTTACTGACATCTCTATTTCTCCCAACCTGTCATAGAGCAATAATTCGATAACTGCAGATCTGACTACGCTTACCTTGCTTTAGTAATAATAATAATATGAGAAATCTGTTCATCTGATATCTCAATGACCCAAATAAAGATGTGAGTTTCCTTAAATACTACCATCAAACTAAGCGCAGCAAGAAACTTCATAGATAAAAAACAGTGTACTGAGCCAGACATGCTTTTCGTACGTACTTTTAAAAATATGGAAACTTATGCCTTTATTCATTAGGCCTGCAGAAGCGTAAATAACATAGAAAAGTAAAATGCAGTAAGCAAACACATTGTCTTCGATTCCTCTATGATGCTTTCAAAAGTGTAGCAACAGAAGGTCGTCCGTGTGCACAGTGGAATGGTTGTGAACACTTAAATAACATATTCAGCAACTCATACTGTTCGTTAAATTCCAGTTGATCACCAAACCGAATTGCTGATTTGCATGCTCTCGTTCGCAATAAGAGCCGAACAGCTGTCCTGAAAAGTGCAAAGGAGAATGCTAAGCGCACTTTATGCATCTACGTTGAGTACATCTACCATTTACCTGGATCTCCGCCTCACTTATAAGGTTAAACGTTTGTTGGGCACATTTACACCCTAACAGAGAACTCACTCGAAGTAGACGAGACCTTCGCTTCGATCCGTCACGGCCCCCAGTAAGAACTTAAGTCTGCTTCGAAAAAATTTTGCCAAAAGTGCTTTAAAAGTATGAGGCAAGACCCACGAGTCGCAAATACGAATAGGGAATGTCGTAACTTGAAGAAAATTTCCTGAACAATTCTTTAAATTAACATTTACACCAAAGTAAACAAGATCTTCAGATAGCTTTTCCTGTAGATAACTCGACACACTTAAACCCAAATTGACGACAACATTTTGTTTAATTTTAAATCCAAAGTGGGGTTTGTTGGTGTTGATTATGTTTTCCTTTTTCCATGACTCTAGGTAATGCTCCAGGAGTACACGCTCATGCGCAGCGTGCTGATCAATAGCTAAAACTCTGAGATAAGTGAAAAGCAAGAATACGCAAGTGGCTGATGCATTTTGACTAGTATTAGTCCCTTATTAATGTAACCAATTATTTCGAAATTGATCGAAGGTAACGACATCTGAGTGCACATTCAAAATGTTCGAAGTCTCATGAAACACTTAAAACTAATCAACGGAGAACTTAGGCGATGCAATCGCACGTACTTTTGGCGCATACATTTCACAAGCATTTATGTTTTTAAATTGAGTTTAGGACAATCTGCTTCGTAAGCAACTAAAAAGGAATAATATTCTGGTTTATATTACAGCTGAGTGTTGCAATGTTTAACAATTTTTAGATATTTATATTGTGCGTTTTTGGACATATTCGCTACCATAATGAGTGATCACCTATATAGCAAAAACATGTATGCCTCCTTATATTGTTTCACAACACGCCGTCGTTGTGCCCTACTTATTGTGGCATATATTTGAAGGTTAATATTCATCAGTTTTTGGAAAGTTTTAGGCTTAATGTAAAACACCTATTAAAGGCTTTCTTTACCCAAACTTAGCAAGCCAAATGAAGTGTCAAGTCTGCATATTCTTGCATATAATAGTAAATATATTGCAAATACAGTATTTAACGATTTAATCTAAAAAATTTAATTTAAATACCATTAAAACCTTGAGTTGTTTAGATGTACCAGATTCACTTCGATTGATGTTGCATGTGAATCGTGCGCAGATTCAGTTAAGTCCGCTCTCAAAATGACAAAGGACAGGTGCGTGGCATCTATATTGGTTGATGTTTTAGGTCCAAAAGTGTTCCAAGAGGAAAAAAGCTGCTTGCTTACATTCGTTCTAATCTACTGAGTTCAAGTGCACTCATCCGAGGACCATTCGGTGACCGAAGAGGTAAAATTGCAAACACGCCTTACTCTTAGTTGTGTACTGTGACTTCACGGCGTCCGGACTGAGTCTTAAATTTTTTGAAGAATTTATAACAAACGAAGTTCTTCCGGAATATGCAAACGTGCACTCGTTTCTTGCAGGAATGGCCTCCCAAACCACAAGCTTTAGAAATGACGCAAAGTATTTAACATTTTAATTTCTACTTTAGAGCTATTATAAAGAATGCGGTAAATGCAACAGATTCAGACGCCCTCATTTTTGTCGGAAGTGGGACTACAGGCGCAATACACAAACTGATCCACAACATTAATTTGTCCGAACCACCGGTTACTTACTTCGCTATTGTTTATAATTTTAGATTGTATTTGTAGGCCCTTTTGAGCATCATTCAAATTTGCTCCCCTGGAGACACCTTGCACAAAAAGTAATTCGACTTAAGACAAACACTGATGGGGGTGTCTCTATGAGTTACCTAGAGGAAGCACTTAAAGTACACACATTTGCAAAATGTGTAGGATAACACTCGAAAATTGGTTATAGGCTGAAAGTCGTACAGCAAAAAAGCTTGGCTGTCAAATGCTTGTTTGCCTTTCTGCGGCTTCAAATGTAACCGGTATAATGGTGGATACGAATGCGGCTTCTTCACTTGTCCATCGCTATGGTGGGATTGTATTTTGGGATTACGCAACCGCTGCTCCTTATGTAGAAATGAATATGAATCCCACTCCAAGGTAAGTAAGATTGTTTACTTGCATAATTATTTATTAATACCTAAATTTTTAGAAATGGTATTGAAAATGCGTATAAAGATGCCATTTTTTTTTCTGTACATAAATTTGTTGGTGGGCCTCAGACACCAGGTATATTAGTTGCAAAAAAGAAATTATTTGAGGCCGGTGAACAATTTCCATTCCAAAGTGGAGGTGGAACGGTTAACTTCGTTCGTCGCGAACATACTTCTTACTTCAAAGTGGGTTCATGAAGCCATATCTAGCCTTTTACTGGTTTTTTTGCTTATTATTGAATTTGTTTCGTAGGAAGTGGAATTGCGCGAAGAAGGTGGTACACCAGCAATTATCGAGTCAATTCGGGCTGGGATGGTAATACAGCTGAAAGAAGCTATTGGTTCTAAATTGATTCAGAAAAGGGAGGAGGAACTGGTTCGGTATGTAAAGTAACACTGACTAATTATAGACATTCACAAATATCATAAATAATTTTTTTTTAGTATGGCATGGACTAAGTTTTCGCAGTGTCCAAACTTAGTGATACTTGGAGGCAGTAAGGCAAAGAGAATCGCAATTTTTTCGTTTCTTGTGCGACATACAAGAGACGGCTCAAAGCACAGAATTCATGATCCATCATGCAAAGAAATTACAGACGACAAGTGCCTTTTTATTCATCATGATTTCATTTGTTCTTTGCTAAACGATTTGTTTGGAATACAATCTCGTTCGGGATGTGCTTGTGCTGGCCCTTATGCTCTCGATCTTTTGGGCATAAATGAGGAGCTTGCGATCAGTTATGAGGACACTCTAATTTCAAAGTAGGTTTACACACTTTTCTAAAAGAAAGCTTGTATTTAAAATAAAGTTAATGTTTGCTAAGTTCACTCTAAAAAGTGCTTACATTTTAAAATCGACATACTACGCACCTACCAGAAGCTAATTTGATAGTTCGAGCAATGACTTGATAATGGAAGACATTTCTTACAATTTAGAGACAACGAGGAGATCTTCGAACATAAAATCCTCCGGTTTGTTAATGCTTTTATAAGATTTCGTGCACGTCACTGAAGTGCTTTAATTGCTGTTTAAATTAGGAAATTCTGATTTTCATGTGAACATGTCTTGACACTTAATGTCATGTGAAACATTTAGACGTCACCCACATAATTTGCATTTCAGTCCGGGATTCACACGAGTTAACTTGCCATTCTTTTATCCGGACGAAGAAATTGACTTCATTATTGAGTCCGTCATATTCGTTGCGAAATACTCTTGGATATTTCTGCCCTTCTACGAGCTCAATCAGACAACTGGTCAGTGGCGCTACTGCAACGACAAGAGGAGTGATATGGGGAAACATCTTTCAAATATTTCTTATGATCACGGTGTGATGCGGTGGAAGAAACCCGCACAGAAATCTGCTGGACCGGTTCCATTGACATTGAGGGTAATTTATTGTCTCGGTAACTGGTTTTTTGCACAGTCCACTCACCGCGCACCGTAGTTGGCATTTTTGAAAGAGTCACAATGGCACTTGATGTTACTTTGAGTTGTTCTTAAATGGTCTTATGTAAGCCATATAAATTGCATTTTAATATGGCCCGTGCTTGCTTTAATATTTGTATGTTTACGGCAAGTTAATTTTAAAGACAAAGCAGAACAAATGAAAATAGCTCCAATTCTTGCTTGGTGGTTCTAGTTAAATTCTTTGTTAGCTGCTACCAATTTTAATTTGCGCACACCATTATAAACATTTATTCACTTCTGTTTCGAGTGACATGGATTTACAGTTCTTAAAGAGCACTACTGTTTTATACTCGAGGTTATACCAGAAGAAGGAAACTTTATTATTGAGGCAGCATTGTACAATGTTCAATGAATCTATGCACAAGCAAAGAAGAGTTGCTACCTTAGCTCTGATACGTGAAACTTATTTTAAAAGGACTCACAATAAAATGGTGAAACTGTCTTGGAAAAATGCCAACCATTGAATTAGGATTGGCGAACAAGAGGTAGAACAATCTATGAAATAAAGTCAAGTTGGGATCCCAAATTGTGAAAAAGTTTTTGCCCTGACTGCAACAGTGACGAAAATACTAAGTCAATGGGAGGCTCATTGCTCCGTTCCAGTGGAGGATAGTTGCTTGTCGCCACAAGTAAAAACTAATCTGACCAACTTGATTGCCTTTTTATAAATACACTTTAAAACTTGACAATAACACTTGCCGTTATGTGCGATTCGATGGATGGTCACGCAGCATCAATGGTTTGATGCGCCAAAATAACGGTCTCCAGGGCCTTTGGCCAAACAAAGAATTTTTGAATGAGGCATAAATGCTACCACACATTAAATTGCAACTACATCAAGGCAGCATCCATACTTTGTGCTGTTCTGACACGACTTTCATGTTTTTGCGGTATTTGACCTCGAATAATTTACGCACATTGCTGGAACTTTTCACGATTGCGATGCTCAAATGACTGACGGTGCGTGTGACTCTAGTGTGACGTTACGTTCTTCTTCGTCTTCGCACAAAAGGACAAGACAGTCGAGATTGCGAGGTTTATTCATTGAAATTGCAGAAAAATCATTAGTCGCTTGCTGACACAGCAGCAAAACGTACTTGACGAGCTGTGCGACTGTGGAAGTTGTAAGGCAAGCATAGCTAATTGCCTCAAGGTAGACTGCGCGAAATCGGTTTATGTGCAAAGGAAAGATACATAACTTTTAATGGACCGATTTGTCCATCATTAAGTGCGTTTTACCAGTAGCACCTTAGAAAATGAAACACTCGTGTAATTTGAGCTAATTTGCGCATAATTCAACGTTGGGATTCCATTTAATCCAAATTGTAACATTGGACTTACATGAGATTCGCAATTATATTTTACTAGGTTTGTGAATGTAAGATTTGTGAAGATCGAAAGTTTTCTTTGTGGTTATCAGAGAGCATTGAGATTAAATAAAAATTTTGTTGCAGAGGGTGTTTTTTGCAATATAAATAAGTTGAATGACGTACCCTTCTCAGGTGACCCCTAACGTTTCCTAGCACTTGTTATTTTTTATTTGAAAATAAAATGTACGACATCGCTTAATTGTGATTATTGTAGCTCGTACGAAGTGCAATTTTTTTGAACTAACAGATAAGGAGAAAGTTAAGCAAGTTAATCGTAAACTTACTAATGTGAAGAATCATATAGGCCAAACCCATCTGAGCGAGGTAAACAACCGTAAGTTTCTGGATCGCTTTGCTCACTGCTATTAAGTCAGATCACACGGCCAAAATATCTCACGCAAAATTTTCATCTAAAGTGCATATGGTAGTGTTACAGTGAATAGGGAGTTGAGGTGATTCGCAAGATCGCAAAATTTAAAGGTGTTTGCACACACTGTCCCCATAGGAATGTCTTTCAATGGCAGCATCACTACAACAATCATTGGAATCAGTTTTGCGCCAATCCACATGCAATGTGACGAATGAAAAAATTGACCGCTATTGGATGCGATCGAAGGTAAACTATCTCCGTTGGTTCCTTCTGGCTAGTGAAGCAGCTGCTGATGCAAGAGGTCAGTTTTAAAGCGCTCTTACCAAGAGTTTTAGTTACCGACCTACACAAAGCCAATGGAGCTAATCCACCTTCTCATTTCTTCCTTAGGACTTCCACGGCCCGTGTCCCAGTATCCCAATTCGGGTAGCCCATGGCATCCGGGCTGCATCGAGCGCTGCTTCTGTCCGGATCTGGCCAAACGTGACAACGAATCACTCTCGCGCTTATGCAAGTATACCAACGCCAAAGCGACTAGTGCTGTAACAAACGAAAAACACATCTACCTTAACGGAGCACATAAGAGCAATCACTACATGAACTCATCAAGCTCCTCAGACAGCACAATGGAGTCCCAATCTAATACGGACGTAATCTGTGTTCGTCGAGGTGGAAAAGAAAATCGAGGATCACCAAATCGCAACAGTAGGTCCAGGGGACGCGCATCGCGCATTGGACGATTGGGAGCTTGTGAAAGATATCCCATTACCTTCGAGTTACCTCGAGGTCTGATTCGACCCCACCGCACGCAGTCGTATTCACCAGCCAGGTATTCGCATGGCGAGACCGGCTGGCGCTCACCACCCCCTCAACTTCTAAAGCCAACCATTCAGGTTAGTGCATCAACAGTCTCCAAATGGAACCGTTTTTTTTAAATGTTTGATTAGCTATGAGCACCATGTGTTTTGACGAAAATTTCCAGCCATGCTTCAAACCATTCCAAATGGTCAAAATGCTTGCTTCTTCATTTGCTTTAAAGGTTTTGATTCATAAGCTACATTGAAAACTCTTTCAATTTATTCGCTGTAAGGAAACAGTTTGAGTATCAAAATCATTTGGCTAAAAGCAAAACATGTGACACCATATTTATTGAAATTGTGCAAATTTGTTACGTAATAGGGTCGGAATGAGCAAATGCATTTGATCTTCGTTTCAACCAATAATTTGACAGTTTTTTAAGCACTGAATTCCCAACTCTAGTTTTGATGTTATTTTGGCGCGTTGGAGAGGCCAAACAGCAGAATTTGGAAGTCAACAATTTTGCTTTTATTCCCACAACTAGTTGTTTCACTTGAGAGTAACTAATAATTGAACCATCGTATTCAATTTAATCCCATTAAGGTAGGCGAAGTGCTCGTGCCAAACTCATTATTATCAAATGGCCTCTCATCAAGACATCATACATGCTAGTTTAATTAAATTTATCCTTACTACAGAATTATGCTTTATTTCTGTAAATACACGGAATGAGCATTTGTCAGTTAGAATTACAAAAATGATTGACGACCGCCGGTTTTCACTCTCTTCCCGGGTAATCGATCTTTCCAACAAAAAACTAGCCCTGAATGCAAAGTAAGCATGCCAATTCTGGAGTAGAGACCTTATCCCGTATTATCCAAGCACCCTACAAATGTGATCGCCTGGAACTGTTAAATCTGCATTGTTACAGAATCCTGACACATCAGTTTCATCAGAATATGGTGAATTCGATGAAGATGAAATCACAGGACTGGAGGAGGACGAGGTATCCATAGTAGTACTGGGCTAATTTACATTCTCCATCTATTCTGTTGTGAAGGCACTTAATTAAATCCTTCATCAACTCGCCTAATATGAGTGCTTTGCTGCTTTTACTTTGTTTCCTTTCAGTCCACATTTGTCAATTTACTAAACCCATGATAGGCATGAAACACTTGTTTGTCACCATCCATACGCATGTAATGATGCCACAACACGAATTAGGCAAGCGTTTGTACTTTTTGCGAAAAAAGTGTAATCAGTCTAGAAAATCCCTTACCTCCTTCGGTCTGGTAGAACACCAGTGAACGGTGCTTGGCGAATGACAGGTGCTTGGCTTCATTGCTGTCATGAGGGAACTCATTCAAGGATTGGTGGATCAAAGCCAAAGTGACGTGTACCCATTGTGCTCTCACAAATGGAGCACAATGATCTCAAGGTCCATCATTGCCGTGGTTTCAGTTTGTGGCGCATAATCTACCGCTAAGTAAACCTCCTCTTCTTTGTACGCAGTAATCAAACGGTAGTCAACTCAAACAAATTCTTATGCTATTGTTAAGAGTTCATCGCATAGATACAAGATTCTCTATTCAATTTGGAAGATTTTCTAACATTAATTAGGGTCAAAAAAGGATTACTGCAGTGCGATTCCAAGGCCTTCATTTCTTATCGCAGTTATATTAAAAAGCCATCATAAGCAGTGGCTTATAAAGTTCCGCCTTAAGAAGCCACTTCTGCTACCAAAAGAGCCTGGGGCGTGCCTTCTGAAATTTTGCCATGAAATCAGAGCAGGATTTTTGGAACAATGCCCTGATGCAGCTCTAAACGAGTGACTGCGTCGGATATTCAACTGGGTTCCGACCAAGCCCCAAGTTGGTCACATTTATTCTCGTAAAAACGAAACCAAAAGCAACGGATCCATCCCAGCACTATGTAATAAGCAGGTTTAAAACAGAATCTTCATGTTAACATTCTCAATTTTACGTTTCCAATCAACGTGATTCCATAATTTGTTTTCGCATTAACAGATTTTGTTTTCAGTTGCATCATTCATGGGGAATACCTCACCGCTTTACGTTAATCTATTGCAACTGCGAAGAAAGTTAAATTGTTACAAATTCGGCATCTTTTAGAATTACCGACGTTCTCCACTTTACAACGAACAGGAGTCCATGTTGTATAGGCTTTACAGTGATAAGTGGAATCAGGTACCTTTGTACTCATGGCTGTTCGCATAAAAGTCATATTTGAGGGCAAAACATACAAGTGTATTTAGTTAATTAGATGTAGCGCAAATTTCCCATGCTCATTAACATTATTTGACTTACGCAACAGGCAATAATAGATAAGAAATTTTAGCATGTAGCTCTATCAGTTTCTCTTAAACGAAACGTGAAGAGTTCAAGCTGTTAGCAATGCCTTCCCCCTATCCTGCATAATATCATCAAAAGTACTCATTTCAGAAATAAAAATCCCTCTAAATGCACTGTGGTAAGTAATCAAACGTTAAAAACATGGTGTCTTAGTTGCATCAAATCGAGTCTTTTACGTATGTGCAACTACCTCTTCAGTGTGTTTACCAAACGGAAGTAGTTCCCAAAATGAAACTGTGAGGTTGTCTTTGACAAACACTTGTCACTGAGCATGCAATAGTGGAACCAAGGTGCTCAGAAAGAGTCATGTTTTCCTATTTTAGAGTCTTATGGGTTATAACCAGTCAGTGACGCATCTGAATTTTTTCCTTCAAACAGAGGTTAGGAATTTACAAATAAAGTTAGTTTTGAGACATTGGATCACGCTAACAGACTTATGGCAGTTAGGGCGCGTTAAGCGACATACTTTATAAAAAAACGTCACAATTGACGGCAAAAACTGCCTGTGCTAGGATGTTAGTGACCCCTAGTAAAAATAATGACTCAGAGCAACGTCACCTTAGATAGAATCCTTAGTTTGTTGAATGCATGGGAAACATCATCCCTCCCAAACGATGCACCTCCCTGCATACTAGCTGCGAATGCAACTGAGCGTGGTGCGTCGTAAAAGTTGTGGAACAAACACCTCCATGCACACCGATCTTATGCTTTTATACTTGTTCAGCTGCGACCATGGTCGTTAATGCCATCGCTGTAAGTCCACTCTTGGTCAGAGTATCGGATCCATCATTCCCTTACATTACCAAACGTGGTAACGTGAACTTTATACTCCCTATGATCTTTTGAGCGGTATATTGCTCTGCAGTGTTAACAGATTGTCGTTGACTTTTGAGCGTTCAGTAATACAATTTTTATTGGTCACATTGTAGGCACCGCTAAAATGCTGCTGCACGGATAGAGAAAGAAGGGCTTTGTGATCCTGGCTAAAAACATGCCAACAATATTTGACTAACAACTTTGTCACACAATTATTCTTTATTTCTAACACCAATCCTTAACCCGCAATGCATTCGCGACAGACTCATTGTCGGTGTCAAGTGTATTTTTTTTTCGCGTAAGACCACTTGCTCTAACCCCTAGGATTTCGCGTGCTTTATTTTTTATCGCAGCGGTGTTTCTACTTAATTTGATAAGTATGAATTGTAATTGATTTAGAGCTTCTCTTTCTGTGGGCATGTGTACTTTACTGTGGGCATTTATAATGATTTTAAAATGTATCCCTTCCATGGTTTCGAGAAACTCACACGAGGCTTAAAGCATTGTGCGGTAAGGGAGTACTCTTTCGCTTTAAACAATGGCCTTTTTTAATAACTGTACTGGTCACATTTGCAGTCACTGTGGTCACAGGGGACTGGGACAATCATTGAAACGCAGAATGTTGTTACCAAACTGACTTATTTATTAAATGAACAGGTTTGTCAGGACAAATTACATTACACTGATGATGAATGAATTCCAAACCTATAAGTGGCCGTCTGATCTTCCTTTTATTGGGTTATTAAAAAGCGTTCATACAATTTGCCGGTTCTGTTACGGAGCTGGCATGGGCCCGTTGGATTTCATGACTAAGATAGAGGAGACAATTAGCCATTTGGTACCTAAGTTTTGCATACATTGACTCTCCGTGATACAATTGATGTAAATGGAAGTAACTAATTTTATCTGTGAAAAGCATGACAATAATCTGCCCATTAAGTCCCATCAACATTTTCAAAAGTGTGATAAAGTATTCTGCGATAATCTTGTTCAGTCCCACCCATCTCAAAATCTGATTTGTATACCTAAACTCAAAGGCAAAGGTTAAGCTGGGGTCTCGTGACGCCTTTGCTTTATATTCGCAACATTTGTCAACAAGGTCAAATTGTGGATGACAAAAATCTCGTTGGAAACAGCATATCTATTGGAAACACCAATGCAAATTGTGTGTTTTGTGGGGGTGGGTAATCAGCGTTTGCGGTTAAAGTCTCTGAGGTGTGCTGTGATTCCCACCGGTGGAGAAATAGCGCCTTACCCAACTGCATTGCTAAGGTGTTGGTGAAGCAGTAAAAACAAGTCGCTACTGCTCAGGTTATGCGTTTCATTTCGGACGAATCTGATCTGTATGTTATCGAAGGTTTAAAGAGAGCGCTTCGCAAATGCTATACTACCTCAAAAACTTGGTTTGATGAGGAGTACTTTTCGAGGTTAAGGGAATAGTGACAATGAAATCATCGTCAGCATGCCGACTTTATTTTCAGGTCACTCCAAGTTCAGTTAAGATTTCAGCTTCATTTAAGTCGCACAACTTTTTGCGAACTAGGCTAACCTACCTATTTGACGGCAATCAGTCGCAAAATAAAAGACATCAAACGATATTTTCATTATCCTAATTTTAACAATGTTCTGACACTGTATCTCTAGACATGTCTTCTCTATGCATCGAGAATCTCGGAAAAATGAACTTCTCCTAGCTTAGAATGTATTAAAACGGTAAGCCACAAATTTAGCCTTTGTCGGGTGGTTGTAAAAACAAAATATGCTGTCCGTTTTCTCGCTTCTGAAACAATCTCATCCTCGCAAGAACTTGTGTTACTGGCGTAAAGGCAACCTAACACGCTACATGCTATGGTTTAACATCGTACTAAGAGCGCTATTGTTAGCCCTCACGACAATAACGTTCCGTTCCAAGAGAGTTGCAATTTTTTAGAGAAAGAAGTCCTAGTTGTGAATATATTGTTCGTGGCGAACCTACCTAATGTTCGTTTGCAATTCTAGGATACAAATAAACTAGATAAAAGGGCAATAAAAAAGCACGGACGTACGAACACAACAACGCCTTAACATCGTTGTGGCGGAAGTGACGAATCTTTCTTATCATTATCGTTTCTGTGTTCTGATCAACTGTGGACGATAGCACAAGCCTCTAGTGAACAAAGGCACTATACGTTTACCTGATCACTTCAAGTGTGTTCCCTCAAAAATCTGCTTTCTAATTGATCTTTCTAACTAATTAGGAGGAGGTATCAAAGGCTATCGTTCCCAATTCGTTGCACACTATTCCACTCGATGGCTTTCAGTACGGAATAGTAGAGGTTTATCCATCCCTCTATTTAGCACTGGGGTACCGTCAGCAAATCAAAGCGGGAGGAATGAAAAGGGTGTTAGTCCCGACGCTGTCTAAGGGGCGAAGAAATTAGTACCATCCTTAGTGTCAAATGAGTTAAAATTTGAGATTCCTCTTGATAGGCGCTTCGCCTCTTCTCCATGATCCACTCCAACGACAGGATTCTCGTACATCTTTCCGGTGGTAAATCTTCAATGGCGCTTTTGCACTGTTTGCATGCCTATCAGGAGATACTTCAACAAGAAAATCCCGATCCTGAAGGCAAGAGCGTCTTTGATCTGGGAGCTGTAGTTGTTGCCTTAGCTTATGAGAACTATGACCTACTCCCCTTGGTTAATTATCTCAAGGCACTAGGAGTGACATATTACTATGAGAAACAAGGTGAGTTAAATGAATTCTCGATGAAACTTGTCAATGTACATTTGCTTGACGCATTCGTTTGCGCTTCTTCTAATTAGCTTAGGTTACTTAAAACGGGAAAGCTCAAAATAGCCTAAACCACTGGAAATTTAAACTCTAAAACGACTTGTGCATACCAATTTCAGATATGAACCATTACTGTTCACATTCACTGGACCTTTGCTCGAGTTTGAAGCAAAGAGTTATCTATAGCGTTGCTAGGAAATACGGATACACCGTTCTTGCTCTTGCTCAAAATCTTGATGAAATGGCGGCGAGGTATGTCGACGCAAATTACATTACTACTGCTACCCCCTACTTTATGGTCGTCGTATTGCAGATGCATTGCCTAATTTTTTTGTACTTTTCAGTTTCCTTTCATCCGTTTTTAACAACGGAAGCATTCAGACAATGGAAGCAAACGTTGAACTAAAGTGAGGATAAGTTTATTTTTCGGGTTTAAACTTAAGCCTTTTCCGCAGGAGATTATCATTTTTGGCTTATTCATCACTGGACCAGAAATTCAAAATAATTGAATATGTGGGACTTGTTAATTTTTGCAGAGATCTCAAACTGCGCCTCATACGTCCATTTGCCTTCTGTCGAGAGAAGACCATAGCAGAATTCGTCAAAACGGTGAGTTCCCTAGACATTGTGAAAATGTTCCCATTCCTTAGTGATTGCTCACAAGTCACCGTTCCAAAGGCCCAATTATAGTCTTTGGATTGTTCTTCGTTCCATTCTCACAGCAAACATAAAAGATAATTCTTTCAAACAATTAGATGTAAAGCGATTATTTGAGGCTTACACGCTACTTAATTAGGACAACCATTGCCGTGGTATAATGGTTACTTCGAATGTAAAATGGTCTGATGCGTTAGCAATTTCGGTTATCAACGAAGTGGGACGAACGAGACTGACTAAAGGTGTTAGAACCGTCATCGCATCCAGGTTGATGACACCATCCGTATGCTTCAAGTGCTTGTGTTTTAAAATATTATCCTGGTTTTCACTTACTCCATTGACTCTAAAGTGAGGCTGGCAACTTTCACAAATCCTGGCTAGGAATGGCATTTTAATCGAATTTAAATTCTCAAATGGGCAATGCTCATAAACTTGGCCACTGCTTTAAATAGGCCAGACTGCCCGTGATGAAGACAGCATGCCCTATATGTGAGCAGTCGAGGATGGAGCAGGTGCGACTGAAGGAAATTCTCGCTGCTGAGGAGAACAACAATCCACATCTTTTCAGTAGCATCATCAGTGCCATCTCGCCGCTACTACATTTGTCCTCACAATCCGACATCGTGCTTGAATCCGACACCATCCCGTCAGCAAAGGTCATCACATGGAGCAAGACTGAGAATTGATTTACATCAGCACAACTATCTATTTTGGCTTTCGATTAACTTTCACGGATGGCGATATTTCGTAATTCTGTTGTTAGCAGCTATCGTAGTTTACTTAATTTATTAAATCGTGTGTCCATTCCATTTTCACCCATTGGGAATAGGTAAATTTGATATGAGAATACAGCTAAAGCATTTAGAATTGCCAATGATTAGTTTTTAAATTTCATTTTGTTTAAAGCAACCTCTTAAAGCCCAAAATTTATATCGTAGCACTCTCACAAACTACACGATCTTATGCGGTGTTCAGATGCCATATATGACACTCGCTGTTTGACGAATTTCATCAGCTGCTTGTGATTAGGTATAAGATGTCGTGCAACATGTACCATTTAATGGACCTTCACCTTTATTCGTCATATTTGATAATATTAAGCAGTTGGAATGGCTTATCGTCATTACCAATGCCTTGCGCGCATACGTGCGTATATCGAAAATAATCTTCACTGGAGGCGCCAATGATGCCTCTCCCTTGACCTCCACAAACCTTGGAGACATGTGTCACCGATCAGAAGCCAACTGTTAGTAATGTTAAGGAAAGCCAAAAGATAGCGATTTCAAATTTGCGATTAAGTTTTACCAATGTGGCATCTATGGTGTAGGATTCCAAGACTTCTCATTGAGTATTTAAGCCAGGTGACTCTGCTGACAGAACGGAGGACAGTGGGAACTTAGCATGGCTTAAAGCTCAGTCCATCTGGTAGAAGCAAGATGGCGACCCTTTTGGCCGCCACTTCTATGGACAGTCCAGTAAACAAGGTAATATTATGCGTCCTGAAAATCATATCCCACTAACTTTGATGTAAATGACAGTGTCTGCCACGGTAGCTTTAGATTAACTAGACTGCAACAAATGTGTGCTTTACAATTCTTAGCCAAATTTTCTTGTGTTATTGGACTCGATAAAATATGAGTTTGAAGATAAAAGCAAAAATTGTTCTCCAAAATGAAGTTCCTATTAGAATGCCGTGAATTTGGTGTAAAGGGAAGGAAACGACTGACGTCTTGGGAGCTCACTATAGTAACATCCCAACGGTTTAAGGAGAATCGGGTAATTTCGTTGACAATTTCCGACGCACAACTAGGCAGTTACATTCCAAAAATGTACCGAACTTTACAACTTCTAGCATAGGACTAAATACAACAAGAGTGAAGCAATATACTACTATTTGAGGAAAGCACTCTCCAGTTCTGATCGGAATTTTTGATATTAAAAGACATTAGTGTGTGCTGGAATGAAGTAATGTGCACTGCAGCTTTATACGTGGTACCGGCCTTCATTTTGGGGTTATAACCTCAAGTTGGATTAAGTGAAGCTGTCTCCGTAGGATGTGTTAAAATACTTATTAATTGTCACCTATTGGCACATGCTAAAGCTTATTGAAGTTTCGGTCTTTGTTAGTGCGAGACTGTTTTAGGAAAAAAGTTAGAAATGTATTGTGCAACAAAGGCAGTTGCTTTCAGGCGTAATTTCGGATGTCGTCAAGACCATTCAAACCTCTGTCATTCTTAATGGAAGTGGTCATTGTGATCTAACTGCAATTATTGTCACTATACCAACTTAAATGCTCCTCATTTAAACTCGAATGTAGTTAAACGCGTTTGTTTGTAAGTATGCTGCATTCAAACGCAGTGCCCAAATGCATTATGTCAAGTTTTAAAATTGAATGTTGGTCCGACGGCTGTAAAAGCAAGAGATAAGACAATACGCGTACAGTAGCGTCCTGAGAATTCCTCATGGACAATATTAGGCACAGTACATGAGCCCAATGCATGTATTCAGCAAAACAGGAGACAAGGAGCTTTTGGTTTAACCCAAAGGCCAGCCAACCTTATCAACGGGAATTGAGTAGTAGAATCACGAACTATTGTACCTACAGTAAGTATTTCTTACGACTTACATTAACCTTAGGCGCAATTTAATTTCTCATTACGCTATTCAATTAGCCAGTTTTTCTTCAAAGAGGGTTAGCCCAAAGCATATAGTTAATAAAGGTGAGAGTTTTGTGATGGATTTTCACACCATTATTTGCTTTGCCAGCATTTGCATAAAAACACTTTCCAACTCCGAAATCAGGTGAAAAAGGGTCTGCCAGAATACATGAGAAGACGTGAATTAACGAAATCCGAAACTGCTCTGTTTGTAGGACTTTTGGAAACGTGTGCTTTTGAATTGGGCACCGTAAAACAGTTCAATCTAGCCTTATTTTTACACAAAACACTGATACTACCTTTCTACTATTTTATTTAAGTAGATGTAGGTCATCGATCGGTATTACAGAGATATGAATTTTATTGAAGTAACGAATGTGCCACAGCTTATCTATCGAGCCTCACTTTCGGCCATTAATATTGCTGAGCGGGTGGTATTAGTAACACTTCAGCAACTTCATTAAAAGGACTTAATTCCCCTGTTTTTAAGGTTAGCGAAAATTAATTCAGACAGATGGACTACTGCTGATGCTGCAAGCCTACTGTACAGCTTTCGGGGGAAAGCGTGTTCTGTTTGCTGTTAGTAGAGTCTCACGGTTCCACTTAACTCTTATCAGTCACTTGGGTATACTTTTCTACCAAACCAAGTTCAATGATTTGCTGGTTTCTCTGCAACCAATCAAAATCCTAGCTCATATTTTAAATGTAATTATAAAGCGAATGCAAATCATTGTTAGTGTATTAGAGGCGGGTGTGAGTAAATTTAGTTGGCGATTCAAATAATTTGTGCCAATTTTGTTTTAGCAACGCCACTGTTTTGGAGTGGATCGTAAAATTAAAGTGTACAATCAGATAGAAGCTGCAGGCCTTAGCTAAAGCACTTCGATTTTATCTGATTTCATTACCAGCAATGCAAAAATTCTAATCACAAACTTTCCGGTTGGATAGTTAAGAAGGGGAGGGCAGATATAAAATGACTCCGTTACCTTGGTTTGAATAGCATTGTCTTTTAGAGACCTTCAGTCCCATGCAGGCGCAAATACCAATTACCTTTGTGCTCCACTGCTGAAGTTAACTATGTTCCTCTGATTTGATCGAGCTGCTATTCTGTTGCCGATGCTTGTCTCAACTATGACTGAAGCCTTGTGCTGGTATAGCACATTAAAAGGCTTGGATGGAGACTGATGAAACGGGGTTTAGTAATGTTTTGTTGAACCAACCCACGAGAACAGCCAATTTGGCACGATGCGCTGACACGGGAAAGTTGTAATATTATCACCATTTTGGGTGCATCTTTATGCCTCAGGACTTTAATATTTTCTGGTTACATATTTGTACAATGAACACCAGAGATGAATAAAACGACTGTACAACTGTACAACGACTGCGCTCAACCACTTGCACACTTCCTAGCCTCACTGTGCTTCGGCATGATATAAATAAATTACAGATGTCTTGAATAAAATTAGCGTCAAAGTACTTTAGTGTCAACGTTATTACGGTGAATGTACAATTCTATAATTCTTCAGCGGTCCATGAGGCTTCTTCCGTCTTCTCTGACTTCTTTACGCCGGTGAATTTCTAGTTTCTCTGGAACAGGTTCACAGCTGTATACCGTAGAAGTGCGTAATTCTTTCCAGAGACCGTTTTTTTGGATTGTGGTACTTAAAACAACTGCAGTACACTAGGATAAGCACTCACTCACACACGCACATATATATATATTTGTATGTATGTATGCATGCATGCATGTATGTATGCATAGCCAGTATCATAGCCAAACACTTATTACAGCTGCAGGGGACAAACAAATCGTTCAATCGCTTTAAATCGTTTTTCTGTTCCAGTTTGCGTTTGAGAATGTGAGTGATTATTTTAAAAGAAACCATAACAGTAGTAAAGGTATATTTATAAAAGACTGCAGCTTTGCATTGTTCTGTTTGCGCGTCCTTTATAAAGTAGCTCATTTGTTAGTTTGGTGGCCAAGTATTGCTCACATTGCTGCAAACCGTAGTTTAGAATTCACGTGTGATTGTACTGTCGTGCAAATACAAGGACTATTAAATGCAGCGTTTAACCTCTTGTAGGACAATTTAGGGGACAATGATAAATTGTCTGTGTTGAGTTACTCCTCCCTTATCCACTCACGTAAACATTTCTTTGCCTTACTGTTGAAGGGGGAAGCAAGTGGGTGGATTCAGAAATGGTTGATATGGGGACAAGATCGCATGATGCTGAAGTTGACGGTTCGTGTACTTGTGGCTCGTCTCATTGCTAACACATAATGCAGTTAAATTGTTGCTGAATTTGAAGCTCAGAAATTATGAATACAGCGCTCATTTTGAAAAAGTCACATGCATTAATGCTTGTTGTCCTTTGCGCTGTAGTTCCCTTTTTCAGTTTTTTTTACTGTTTTTGCACATCGAAATAATTGAATCCTCTGGGCTATCGAAATGACCATTGAATTGTGGCTCGGCAAAATTTGCCAAATCTAAAGGAGTCATCGGAATTGTTGGGCGTCCAATGCTTTGAAAAAAATTGTCAATTGAACCCCACTCTAAATGGTACATCGAATCACTTTTCGGGCCACGGTTCAGGGGAGTCAATGAGGTATCAGTTTACTGTAGCCACTGCTTTACCCAAGGTTGTTACCACAAGACTGTATGAATGGGTTTTGTGGTTAAGATAGTTTAGTATACGTTTTTCTTGCCGAAATTCAGTGTAAGCGCACAACAAGCAATGATACAAAACTTAATATCTTAGTTTCCTCCTTTTAACTGCCTCCAACTGTTTTTCCAAGGCCATCCGGTTAGATGAGGCGCATTTTGGGCATTGGATTGAACGTAAGTGGCGAAACCATCACTACTCCAACCTCCAAAAACCATCCTTACTTCCAAATTTGACTGACTGGGAATCATAACCCGAGGTTGAATGTCTGAAGTGTAGTTTTGCATTTCCTATTAACATTTCGTGTGGTAGGATGTAGTTCGAGTTTTTTTCTCGCATCTGTATCTTCGGAAAAGGCTCAA